ATCAACGTTATTAACACTGCTCCCATGTGATGACACTTTGTTCCTTGTTTGGTTTCCATCTCCATTATCTCTCTGTTTTTTTTTTTTTTTTTTCCATTTTTTTCTCTTATAATTATCATGATGGAATCTTAATTACATTGTTGGCATTTCCGAATTTTCAATATATATATATATATATATATATATATATATATATATATATATATACATTAATACATACCAAGAATCAGATTGAAATGAGAATTAATAATCCATGAAAATTTACATACTAATATCGTTGCGATGAGAGATGTGGAGCGTTTTCGGTCGAAATTCGATATTCTGCGCCAATTTGAATCGTGTGCATCGAGCGTTAGCTAAGCGTTGGGCAGTTGTCGTGCCCAATGTAGGCACCGTCCTCACCCAATTTGGGCACCGTCCTCACCCAATTAGGCCAAGATTGGGCTTGTCGTCACCCAATTAGGCCAAGACATAGCACACCGTGGCTCATTTAGGATGATCAATAACTAGAAATTAAGAAAAGAAATATTAAAAAAAAATGCTATGACATTTTCGGAATTATAACAATGCATTTGAAAACTTTTGATAGTGTAATTGCGGATAAGTAATAGTGCACACACATGAGCGCAATATTATAGATCTTGAGTACAGTGTCAGTTATCTGCGAATGCACTATCAAGTGTTTTCAAATGTATCGTCGTAATATATAGAAATATCATCACATTTTTAAAAAAAAAAAAAATTATAGTCATTGATTATTCTAGATGGATGGATAAAATTAGTGTGATGCATGTTTTCTCATGAAGCTACCAGTTCTTATACATACATATATATATATATATATATATATATATATATATATATATATATATATATATATATATATATATATATATATATATAGAGTAAAAGACATTTTTGGTCCTAGATTTATATTGCCATGGACAATTTTGGTCCTTAATAAAAAAATCAGACAATTTGTGGACACTCTTATTTTGACAAGGACAATTTTGATCCTTCGTTTATATTTCCGATAGATGGTCGTCTAAGAGGGGGTAATTGTGTCATTCTGGCAGTGTAAGAGGGGGTAATTGCGTCATTCATGCGTGTTTTGTTTTCTTCTCCGTTGAAATCCCTAATTAATCTCTGGTTCTCTGATTTCTATCACCTTCTCCATTTTTCGAGCTCGACACTCCGGCTCTCTCATCATCCCCAGGCTCTCGCTCTTTAGTCTTCAATGCCTCTTTCGATACTCATCGTCTCCGATTACTCTGACTGGAGGACTAGCGACTGGTGGCTACGATTGGCGACAAATACTCCATGGCCACCAAAGCTGGAGCTCCACCCGAGTACTACTCTCACGGCTATTAGGCTGTTCAAGGTCCACCTCTCTATTTCTGCTAAACCTTAAATAGGATATCAATTTTACTTTTATTTCTAACTTTTTATGTTGAAACAATTCAAAATTTTCGTTCCTCATTTTATACAATCTATGATTCTGATGTTTTTTATTAAGTGAAAATAAAGTATTTATTCAAGTTTTTTGATTTTTACTGGTCTTGATTTGTTATTTATTCCTGGGAGATTTTGATGAACTCTAGACTATGCGGGTTGTGGAGGGAACACCAGTGAGAGAACTACCTCCCTTGCTGTGATTGTGGCATTGGTTGGTTCTTGTAAGTTATATCAAGTCACCCCATCAAAGCTTGTTATTTGCTTATCTGTAATGTAAACTGAAACTTCAATTTTTGAGGTTACTTAGATGAAGGGTTGAGTTCTGTATCTTGCATGAGTTACATCTAAAGTTCTATACTACCATCATTTTGTTTATGCCTCTATGATTTGCCTTCCACCTAATTGCTTATCTTGCATATATGATACATTACTGTGGAAACAAATAAAATTAGACTAAAAACCTTACAAATATAGAACAAGACAATCTAGCTTTCTTTAGTAAATAATATTTAATCCTCTAAACAAAGATTCAAACTTTTGTTTATAATTCTTCACAATCAAGTTTACAGTACAATTGTTTGTTTAAAAAAAAATAAAAATTGCAGTTGTCTTTAGGTGCACTAACCAATTTTGTTGAGGAAAGAAGCAGATTTTGTTGTGGAAAGAAGCAGACTCTTGATTAGGCCATGATCCCTGAATTTCCATATTTACTTCATTTGCAAATGGTAAAGACTTGATAATGATTAATGGACACTTGATCTATTAAGGAGATGCAATTACAATGTTTTTCATTCTTCTATACAATGTTTAATGCTTGTAGCACAATTACTGCTAAAACCAGAAAGTCGTTGATGATTTGAATTATATGGGAATTTGCAGGGGAAATTTTGTAGTATATGTTGAATTATTGTCTTTATTGATGTATTTGTTATATTTGTTGCAGATAGTCACAAAGACTCTTTGTTGGCTACACAGGTAATATATACTTATGAGGTGTTTAAACTTTGTTGATTTGATTTGATACTTTGATAATCCGGTTGGTATGATTTTGAATTGTTTGGTGTAGGGTGGACAGAGCATTTCATAGTGCAAATAAATGAGGGTCAGAGTAAACACATCATCAAATGCATGGCTGAGGACCAAAATTGTCCATGTTACAATAAAGAGAGCCTAAATTGACGTAATTACCCCCTCTTAGACGGACATCTAACAGAAATACAGACAGAGGACCAAAATTGTCCTCGTCACAATAAGTGTGTCCATAAATTGGTCAAATTTTTTATAAAGGACTAAAATTGTCCGTGTCACTATAAGTCTAGGACCAAAAATGTCTTTTACTCTATATATATATATATAGAAAAGCGCTCATATGTGGTCATGTCATTAGGTGTGGTCGTGTGGTCGTATCTGTGTCGTTGAATCAGTTTAATCTAATGGCAGTGGTAATTTTGAAGATTTTCGCGCGTTTTGGTAAGTGGGGGTGTTATGGTAATTACAGTGGCCATTTATATCGGGCGGGTTCCAGAATACACCAACAGTGTTGACAACATACACCAATAGTGTAATAAAACACACCACAGTGAAACACACCAATGGTGTATTCCTGTGTTATGGTAATTACAGTGACCATTTATAGCGGTCGGGTTCCAGAATACACCAACAGTGTTGACAACATGCACCAATAGTGTAATAAAACACACAACAATGTGATTTTCCCTATTTCGATATTTTATGACGAGTTTACCCTTGCAGTTCGCTGGGTAGGAGAATGTGCGCGAAAATACTGAAAAAATCTGGATTAATATGATTCATAGGATCTATCTAATCTAAAGGCCTATAATTGACCATATGACTACACCTAACAACATAGCCACATGTGATCACCCCTATATATATATATATATATATATATATATATATATATATATATATATATAAAACATTGGAAGCATGAATGTTAATGATTCTTTTTGGGTTCCATATAGTAAGGTATAGTTTTATTTACATTGGGGTGGGGGGAATTAAAATAATTCTTTAAAAAAAAAATAAAAGGTCAAATATTTGTGTTTGAATTTATGTATATCGCAATAGTTATGCTGTGCAACCGAATGCATCATGCATGATGCATACAATGCAAAACAACGTCGTTTTGACTAAAAACGCGCGTCCCACTTAAAAAAAAAAATCAGGTTCGATTCTCGGCAATAGCATTATTGTGGATATATAGTTTAATCATTGTGAATATTTAGTTCATTCATTGTAGATATTTACTTCATTCATTCACTGTGGATATATAGTTATGAATTTATGGATATATAGTTATGAATTTCTGGATATATAGTTATGAATTTCTGGATATTTAGTTCATTCATTGTGGATATTTAGTTCATTCATTGTGGATTTTTACTTCATTCATTCATTGTGGATATATAGTTATGAATTTATGGATATATAAAAATGTTATTGCCAGGAATCGAACCTGATTTCTTTTTTAAGTGGGACGCGCGTTTTTTTAACCAAAATGACGTCGTTTTTGCATCCGTATGCACCATGATGCACAACATAATTTGCGATGTATAGGGTAACTAGGCCTAAGAAATGGCTCAATATGATCCAAGATTGGGTTTTGATGAAGTGGCCCATTCATTGGAAGGCCCAAATTACATAGATGATTCTTTCCATGCCAAATAGGTCTATTGGGCTTGTTGTTCGTGTACATATTAGTTGTTTATGTTTGGATACACATTGCTTCTTTCTTTTAATTATCACAAAAAGATTTTGCAATTCTTTCTTTTCAATTTTCATGCTAAAATAGACTTGGGAATGCATGCTTGCAAGTTGCAACTCACCTTGACCTATGTGTTACAATATTTGGGCTAACCCAACACAATTTGATAAATGAGGGAGTAACATGTCACTCCTCTGTATAATTTATGTTAGATATGGTTACATAAAAATATGGAATAAGTACTTTAGTATGATCTGTTATCGTGTTTACTCACGAGACTTAAGTTGGTCTCGCTTTCATCAACATTCTTATCATTATTAATGATTTTTAGAGATTTTACTTCTTCTGATTGACTTGATAACTTACATGACACGTGTTCTTGCAAAGTTTTAGCGATCTGTCCCGCTTGTACTTTCAATTTTCTCAAGGAAACTTCACTTCTGACAAGTGATGCCGCATTTTGTTGAAACTTGCTTCTTGTTGCATCTGGAATTGCTGCTCATAAGCTTTGTCTAGTGCAGATTAATAATTGCACTTAATATTATCAGCAATAATATAGCTTTTGCTTGCCATTCTAACATTGATGTTGGGAAAGAATGAATGTTATTAGTTTATTTAACAACACTATCTAAAATATAAATTATTGTTATCATAATAGAACAAAAAAAGAAACATTACACATAATTTTTTACTACTATTTTCAATTTTATGTCGAACTCACCGCATAAAGTCTTTGTAGATGGTTATATAAAAATAAATAGTCTTTTATTGGAAAGAGGTGCAATGTGAACCAAAAATGACAACAACCAAAAAAAAAAAAAAAAAAAAAAAAAATAGAAAATGAGAAAGAACATTGAATCTGATCTGATCTGATCTACCAAGTACCAACAACCTATTTCTGGCCTATAAATGAAGAGACAAATCAAGTTTTTGGCTCTTGTTGCTACAATCTGTGTGGTTAGTAACACCTAAGAAACCACCCTGCACCGGACATTCTTCTTCACCAAACCCATGCTCATCATCACCTTCATACAAGTAAGGGTTGCTATTCACCAAGCAGCTGCCGCGGTACTCCAACCTCGGCGCCGCCGCTGCGCCGCCGCCCGCCGCCACAAACCGGCCGGGGTACTGGCAGAGCGCGGCGGAATGGGCAGAGATGTAGAGCGGCGGAGGGTGGTGGGTGAACAGGCCGAGAGGGTGGTGGTGGTGGTTGGGGGCGAAAACCAGTGAGGAGGTTTGATGAGGGAATGAAGAAAGAGAGTTGATTAAGGCATATTCATGGGGGTTTGCCCTTTTGTTCTTCCTGGCTGCACTTCTCTCCTTCTTGTGGGCATTTTGATGGCCTCCCAATGCCTGTGAGCTGTGGAATTTTCTTGAACAGTATAAGCATGGGAATGATCTTGTTCCATCTTCTCCATTTTGGGTTTGGTTTTCCATTCACTTCTCTTTAAGCCTCAGAAAGATAGTTGATTTACTTTCTCTTAGGGTTAGCAGTGTAGAAAGAAGGAGAAAGGATATATGATCTCAATCTTTCTTGTTGGAACAGAGGATTCTTGGACTTTAAATAGGAAGAAAGAGGGCAGGAGATGATGAGATATTTAGGGACAGGATTGTCTCTTTGCTTTATCTCTAAAGATTTTCTTTAAAGACTCTACAACTTTTGACCTTTAAAAGCTTTTATGGGCATTTCTAGAAGTGTTTAAATGATTTGGGAAACATAAAAACTTGTTGATAAAATTTGGATAAAATTTGACTATAAAATGTGAAATTTTTTGTTTCAAGAATCTCACACTCAATTCAACAAGAGTGTAGAGATATAAATGGTAATGATTCAATAGTTCATTAGATAAAAGGATCAATGTCCAGTGACACGTTTCGACTTTACATTTTTTGTTATTATTTGTCACTCAGAAATTAACCAGGTTATCACTGCATGGTTGATAAAACTTTGTGTTTAGTAGAGATGTGAAGAATCAAGTCCAATATTTTACTATTAAAACGTAACACTACCTGCTATATGCAAGTATAAATAAATAAATTTACACTTTTTAACGTAATAGTAAACAGGGCATAACTACCAATTAAATTATATTAGGAACAAAAAAAATTGATATTTATAATTATAAGAGGTAATATAATAATCTGATCTTTATATTGTGACATAAAGTCTAAATAAATAATTAAAAGAATTTTATTATCTTAATTTTATGGTTTGACATGCATGTTGTGTGTAATGTAAAATTTGCCCAAAGAATGTATGTACATATGGAGGGCAGAGAAGGGAACAGAAGTTGAGAGAGTTCTTGAAGTTGGGCATAATAAGGAGTTATGTTGTGGTCAGAAGAAAAGCAGAAGTAGAAGAGATAGTTGCAGATCAGAAGTTCAGAAAGTGGGTTGGGAAATGTGAAGAGAAGAGGTGAGTGTATATGAAGAATTATTAAAAAGTGTGCAAGAGTGGGGGGTGGGGGGTGGGGGTAGTATGGGCTTGAATTGGCTTTGGAACAGATGCAGAAGAGATAAGAGAGGAGATGAGTGGGGGAATTGGAATTGAAGATGATGATGATGATGATGATGATGATGGTTTCATATATTTGACAGTTCATCTATCTGGTTTCATGACTGCACTTGTTTGTGCAGGTGGCTTTTACTCAATTCATGCTTTCATTGCATGCAGAATCAATGGGATGTCAAACTAGTTAATGCAAGAATTAGTACTGGGAAACTTCAGCTAAATTGGTGGGATAATTAATTTTTTGGGTTAGAGCACGCGGTTTTCTAAGCAGGTTTAGGAGGCACTTTTAAATTTGTAATCCATACTATACTCAGACCAATCTTCATTTGCACTGGTCCGGCTCAATTAAGGGGTAAACTAAAAAAGTGCACCAATCCGGTCCAATTAAGAGGTAAACTGGAAAAGTGTTGGCCAGATTAGTTGGTCGGGCCTAACTGTATGAGGCACCTTTAACCCATACTATACTTAGACCAATCTCCACCTTTAAGCCCGTACTATACTCAGCAGTCCGGCCCAATTAAGGGGTAAACTGGAAAAGTGTTGGCCACATTAGTTGGCCGGGCCTAACTGTAGGACCAATCTCCACCTTTAAGCCCAGCATGTACTATACTCAGTAAAGTGCTGGCCAGATTAGTTTTTCCATTGGACACATTAGTTGGCCAGGCCTAACTGTAGGACCAATCTCCACCTTTAAGCCCTACTCAGTAAAATGCTGGCCAGATTAGTTTTTCCATACGAGAGGGCGTTCGAACTCCCGAAGGGATAAACCAGTAAAATGCTAGCCAGATTAGTTTTTTCATACGAGAGGGCGTTCGAACTCCCGAAGGGATAAATAGATAAAATGCTGGCCAAATTTTGATTTTTCCATACGAGAGGGAGTTCGAACTTTCGATCTCTCCAATTAAGGGATAAACCGGTAAAGTGCTGACTAGATTTTGGTTTTTTCATACGAGAGGGGGTTCGAACTTTCGATCTCTCCAATTAAGGGGTAAAGCAGTAAAGTGCTGACCAAATTTTGGTTTTTCCATACGAGAGGGGGTTTGAACTCCCGATCTCTCTTAGGGGATAAGAGTACACGACCACACACGCCAACGAAGCTGGATTGGTTAGATAATTAATGGGAGATAATATTCATGAACTTTCTTGGTTTGGTTGGATATAATTAATTGGAGATAATATTCACGAACTTTCTTGATTTGAGCTTCATCCAAAACGCACATTTTGAGTTGATTTACCTCATTCTTTGTAGGCTAAAGTCACAAGATGAACTTCACTTACATAGAAAGAGATTCTCGGTTCAACAAATGGGCATGCCAGAAGACTAACCACCCGTTCTAGAAAGAGATTCTCGGTTCAACAAAATGGGCCAATAATTTTTTTTCCGAGTCGAGTGGTAGGGACTGGCCAATTCAAATAGTTTGCTTCATTCACATGGATAGGGATCGAACCCCCAACCTCATGCTTAAGGGACGAGATATTGAATCACCACGCCAACCATGTTGATTATGAGCATGCAATCCAATAATAAAAGAGAATAACTGAGCTTAGGATTTTGATTACCAAATTAACAAATCGACCAACTTGATTAGTTTTAATATGCTGTTTGAATATATGTATTTTGTTTGAGCTAAAAGTGGAGGCTGGAGAAAGTAAAAATGGTGCAGCAGGTGATAATAAATAAGGGTTATGGGGGGCAAACAGCCACTAGTCCTGCTGGGATTTGGGTAGTCTGACAAGTGCACCGCCAAAGGCCATGCATTGCATGCAACTTGTCAACTTTCGCCCATTGGTTGCATGCATGCATGCGGGCGGAATCCACACATTGCACCAAAACCCATTATATTAGTGGCTTGTGGTCCTTCCTTCCTTCCCTGCTCGGCTGCCACTTAACCCACTACGACCTTACCCACACACACCTACCAACAGAGATTTCAACTCAACTGATTAATCAATCCAATTAAGTTAATAGTTTAATTTCACTGATAAATCTGAAGAAGTGCAAAGTTCGATCCCGCCTAAAAGTGTAGTGTAAGCGAGATTACATTATTAACGTTAATTAAGAAGCAGTAAAGCAACACAAAATGAAAAGACACATTATTAAAAATCTCGCTATTTTCGTTCAACTTAACGAAAAATTATTAGTCAAAAAAGGAGTTTCCTATCGACATTCCGACCAAAATGACGATCAAGAAAAATGGTCATGGGAATTTCCGTCCCTTCCTATTTGTAACGGAAAGTTGTGATTTTTTACAAATTACTAACCAATATTGTTGTTGGACGAAAATAGTGAGATTATTTCTAATCGTGACAGTAAGTAGCCGTTGTGAGTTTTTTCGAGAGATTGGATGGGATGAGTATTTTAATATGTAGACCGGCAATGGGGTACCTCTCCCGCCCCACGTGGGACCAATGCCTAATGAACAACTGCAACTCACTGCCACGCCTTGCCTCCATCTGCCCAATTCCCAGTCTGTATCATATGGTTTCTGTATCACTCCCACGCCCAAAATTAATATTTAATTTCCCAAACATTACAAAAACATAGTACATACTAAAACTAATAAGCTGTTGGAGTTGGATGTGATTTGGTTGAGTCCTATACTACTCAAAGAAGAGTTTAGTGATAGTTGTTTTACTTGTTGGTTTGTCTTTTAGTCATTGCAAAAAGAATTGATCAATTGAATTGTGGGGAGAATGACAGTAAAGCTGCGCTATTTTAATTTCAACTACCTTGATAATGGAGATGGGAGATGAGTCCCAACAGGGGAAGGCAACCCACTCATCAGTTTAAGTAGAAAGAAATATGAGTTTTTTTTTTCCACTTATAATGAGTTAATACTCAATGTCATCGATTATAGTGATTTTTTTTAATTTCGTCCTAAACGACTTTGATGATCTAATATAGTCCTAGACTTTTGTATTTTTGCTCTATTTAGTCATCCATTTGTTATTCTGTCAAATTGGTGTTAAATAAAGGGATAATTTAGTAATCTCAATATTGGCCTCTTTTTTTTTTTTTTTTTTTTTTGAAAGCTACAATATTGACATCTCTTTACTCTTAGACCTGCGAAGTGTGAAATCTCTCTTTCTTTTACGAATTACTCCCAGAATTAATTCCAGACCTCCGAATCAAATTTTATATTCGCAAGTTTGGAAGTAATTCATAAAAGAGAGAGGATTCCGCACTTCATAGGTCTAGGAGTAAATAGATGCCAATATTGAAATTACTGAATTGTCCATTTATTTAACATCAATTTGATGGAGTAATAAAAAGAGGATTAAATTAAGCAAAAACACAAAAGTCTGAGACTACATTGGGTCACCAAAATCGTTTAGGACGAAATTGAGAAAAATCACTATAGTCAATGATCATTTTAGATATTAACTCCACTTTTAATCTTACATACTATTATTGAATCATTTTCACATGCATTTGGTCTTTGACTATTACTTTTTTTTATATTTGATCCAATTTTTAAAATCTTGCCACATTTGATCCTACGACTTTTAAAATTTTGTCACATTTGGGCATTCTTATCACAAGGCCTATAAACCAAAGCAGTTTCTTTCTTTCTTTGAAAGGAAGTAACAATTACCCATATGTTATATAGTTTTCAAAACACAAAAACGCTTACCCTTTGAAAATTACAACAATAACGCTATAGCCTATAGGCCAGCATTATATCATTATCGGGTGCATTCTTAATTCCTAGGTGAAATCAACATTTTAATCCCAGAATTATTTCTCAATTGTCGATGTTATCCCTAGTTTTCAATTTCAACCAATTTATCCTCGCATTTAAAATTTCATCAATTTAAACCCTTTCAGTGATCAAATTGACGAAATTTAAAAATGTGAAAATCATCATTTTAGTCTCGAAAAGGGTTTAATTGATAAAATTTTAAACAATTCAATAATCAAATTGGTTAAAATTGAAAACTAAGGACTACATTGACAGTTAGAAAACAATTGAAAGACCAAAATGGTAATTAACTCTAATTCCAATTATGAGAATTACTCCCAAATGTGATAAATTACTTGAGAACTAACAGAGAAGAAACACACACTGCAAATCTGCAATGATAAAACATTAATCACAACTGGTTTCAAAGTGATATTTCTTCAAACAAGGTTCATGGTTACTAAAGCCATAAAATGGCAGAACAAATGTGATAATAATAGCATGACCTTTCAGCAATCTCTGGGAGTTTCAAGATTCAAGAATCAAAGACAATTTACAAGTATTGTAGAATGGAAATATCAGTTCATGTTTGGAGCAGGAATGACACAGCTCTCTAATCTTGATCTTCATCTGATCGGGATCGCATCAATCTGCGCCGCCGCCTTCTGGGGTTAGCACCATTGTCACCCAAGTCGTTTGACATATTCAGGTCACGTTCGTCCTCGACTTCATCATTCCCGTCATCATTGTCATCGTCGTCATAGTGAAGGCCTAAATTCTCGCCCCAAAGAAAGCGTCGCCTAGAAAACGGTCCATTGGAGCGTCGGTACCTTGACAACGCCCTTGACCTGCTGCCTCTTGGCTCGTGTGTAGGATCCATTGAGCCAATCATTTGGAACAGAAAGAAGGTACTGAGCAATCTGCTGCTGCTATTTTCGCCTATTCCTCGTCCACTCGATATTCTATCTCCATTCTCGATTACATAATCTCCGAGCACGATGGCACCTGGCATAGCCGTGTGAATAGCACTGACAATGTCACCGTATTCTCTCTGGTCTTCGAGGCGTTGCCACGCTCGTTCTCTCGATGGGTCAACGTCAGCAGGACGGGCAGTGGGATGCACTCTCCTAGCATGACGCCGCAGTTCCCTATAGTTACCGACAAACGAGCATGATTCCCGGTAACAACTTCTAGGCTTCAAATCAAGGTAGTTTCTCGCCTCTTCCATAACCTTCCAACCCAAAACGCTTCCACGACACAGGGGGCATCTGAGGTTCAGTTTTGATTCCGACGGGTTCTCAGCATCAGCCCCTTCGGGACCCCTTTCACTTCCAGAGACAGTACCGCTAGTTCCTAAACCCCCGTCATTCATCTCCATGTGATCATTCGTAATAGCGGTGCCATTTCCCGATCCTCCCGCAAAAGCATCGGTTACCAAAGCATCACTTGAAGATGCATCAAGTTCTCCACGAAAGCTTGGCGTTCTCAAGCCTAAGTTCCCATTAGGAGTTTGAAAAGTAAAATTTCGCCTCCTACTTCTAAACCTGACCGGTGAGGGGATCCTCCTCATCGAACTCGGAGCAGGGGGAGCGGGTTTTTCATTCGTGACTTTCCTGAACCGATCCAGGCAGTTTGAATGCCTATAGCTCGTGTCACAAATGTAAGTTCGGCATCCCTTATCATGAGAACTACAAAGTAGAAGAACGGCATTGTGTGGGTGATCCATGCATATAGCGCATGAAGCTTCATCCCATTCCTTGTACAGAGCATGCTTATCTACTTCACCCGGCATGCTTCGTTTTCTACTAGCCATCTACCTGAACTGCAACGTGTCACTAATAACATTGACACAATTAATTCTCTATTACTCATGAATTCAAAACAGAAGCAAAAGACGCTAATGCATAATATGTACATCTTATTCTGATGTAAAGGTCCCGGGGATAATGAAAAACATCATCAGAAGACACAAAATAACTGATCTTCGACGATACAGACAACATAATGAAACCTAAAGTTTTGGACCAAGTAAACCGACACAACAGATTCAGTCCAGGAATATAAACCGAATAAACTACACAATGATCAAATTCAAGTCAACTAGAAACTACGCAATAAACCTAAAACAGACAAAACCCCAAAACTCACTCAAATACTCAATACATACCAATGAAAGGAACCAAGTCTCTTGTCTATTGCTATCTGCTGTATGTTATACACTTGACAGTGTGTTAGCAAATGAACATTTACTGGTTCCTTATTGCACTTTACACCAAATTGAATCGCAGTCTTCACAGCTCTATAATTTAGTACACCCAATAACGCACAATCCTAAGATACTCAGACCAATTCAGCATTGAATAAATAATTAGATATATCTTGAGCCACAATCACCGGACTCCAACACCCTGCAGTTGTAATACAAAATATAGTAATGCCCATAGTTCACAGCTCGAAACATTGAGGATATTAAAGAAAATAAACTTTTAAGAGAACAAATCATTAACACCCCCCCCCCCCTCCCCCCCATTCCTCTCATCTTCCCCAACAAAAACCCTACATTTAACTCAATGCCATTTATTTGCAGTGACAATAGGTTTAATATTTAGTGGACATGAAAGGTTTATTAGATATGATTATACCATATGGTCCAAAAAGTTCAATAAACTACTAATTTCCCTCCAAAAACATAAGCACAGCTGAAGTCCATAAACCCATAATCTAAATCCCTTAAACAATTATATATATGTTCATATGATCCCCCCTAACATTCACCAAAAAGTTGATCTTTGCTAAATTATGATTAATAAGCAGCATCATGTGAAAAGAATATAGTTTTCTCCATCTAACAATCAAATAACATAAAACATAAACTCCCAAAAAAAAATCCAAAAATCGAATTCAATCACCCCTCTCCAAAATCTAATTTCTAACCCTAATCAAGCATACAGATCGAACAGATTAATTAGTTATCGGTGTATCGATGATTACATACGTGCAGATTAGCATACAGTCGCAATAATCAACGGCAAGTAAAGCAACATAGATCAAAATTAGGGCAATCAATAAAAATTGGGGAAATCAAAGGCGGATGAGATTACGATAACGAGATCAAAACCGAATCTTGCGTTTGATTGATAAAAGATCTTTTTTAAGGGAATATTACGCGATGGTTAGGTGGTGACTTGTGAAGGTTGAAGAATGAACAAAACTTGTAAGAAATCTGAAAAAGAAGCTATATATATACGTATATATATTCCTTTTAAAAAAAAATCTATATATATATAAAAGTAAAATTCTCCTAGCCAAGTTTTCCCCCCAAAACTTAGGGGCATTTTTGTAATATCAAATATTTTGACAAATATGGCATTTCAATAATATTAAAGATTTTACCTTTCTTGAGATCTCTTACCATTTTATAATTTCAATACTAAACCCTTTTGATATCATCCATTGTGTATAAATACACCTTATATGACCATACACAACCCCAACTAAGGTTAATTATTTCATTGATTTTTGCTAATCATCCTGTTATCTTCCACAGTTGAGGTTGATACGTGATTTGCACGGGTGAGGTTTTCATTATCTTAGTTTCTTTTATTTTTTCTTCTTTTTGGGTTTTGTTTTGTTTTTATTTTTTTGTATTTTCTGATTTTTAAACAACAAAAGTGGTTCGTAAGAAAAAATGTTGATATATTCTTTTTTTTTGGTCTATTTTTGTGGAGAAGTTACGGATCTAGAAAGATTGATCGGGAAGCAATAGACTTCTAATCATCCTGTGATCTTCCACAGTTGAGGTTGATACGTGATTTGCATTGGTGAGGTTTTCATCATCTTAGTTTCTTTTATTTTTTCTTCTTTTTGGGTTTTGTTTTGTTTTGTTTTTATTTTTTTGTATTTTATGGTTTTTAAACAACAAAAGTGGTTCATAAGAAAAAATATTGATATATATATATATTTGTTTTTGTCTATTTTTGTGGAGAAGATACAGATTTAGAAAGATTGATCGGGAAGCAATAGAGTTCCTTGCTCATCAAGATGATAAAGTTTTGTGATCGAGGGACGAATTATGTGTATATGTAAATAGATATAGACTTACAGAGGGAAGCATACTAAGAATACAATAAAAACCAAAATGAAATTAAAAGCATTTTTTAGTTGTTAATATATCAAAGCATTGGACTTTGTTTCGATTCAATTTCTCCGTCTTTAAAGTGTACATATTTTGTAATAAGAGAGTAGTTTGTCTCTCCCTTCAAGACGTTTTTCTTGCCATTTAAATTTTTTTTAGGAAAAAAATGATTAAGTACTGTGGCTTTTTTTCAATAGAGTATTATTTTGATTTTATTCTTCATCTGACATTCCTTGATATAAATCACTTTACTAACGTAAAATAATGTTATTGACTTACCATGTTAGTTTCGATATGCTAAGTCATTTAAAATTTAATACGGAGTAAAATTTATAATTGTAATACTTCCGTAATAATATTGAATAAATATTAATCATATGTTTAGATTTAATAATATATTATATTAACAAATTATATATTAATTTAATATAGTGATGGTTAATACGGGTAAACCATATATAAGCAATATTGTACCTTAAGAATATTA